TTCTTATTCTTGTACTTTCATTAAGGATCATAATCAAGATTACACTATTGAGCATTGTACCTGTAGTTTCTTATGCTGGGATATTAAAATGATGGGTTCTATATTAGGTTAAGATTAAGAACCCACTTCAGATATATGGTTAAAGTACTCCTTATTGTACAATCCTCACTTATTAAGCTAGCTTTTAAAATTGAGTTAGGTCAAATTCGTTCTTAATTCTAATAAATTGATTTTTACGTAACATAAGCTGATTGATTATTTTCTTTGTTATGCTTTATCAATAATTAGTTTATAAGGAACCTAGCTCTGAGAAAAGTAGCAGTAGCTTTGAGTTTAATCATTCAGCGTCTAATCAAGCAATTTTTTTTTCCATGGTTGAAATATTATATCCGAAGATCAAGACATGTATGATACTGATTTAGTATTACTGTAATATAACCATTTAGGTATATTTTTGGATGGAGTTTGGAGGGAAAAGGTGACAGTGATGAATGACCTGAATATACATTATTTTCTATGATGAATTTCAAAATAAAGTTCTCTTATTTGCCCAATGAAAAAGAAAGCAGAAATTTTACTTTCTGCATTGAAAGAAAACTAAATGTATAATATGCTGACATCATCTGAATTCCTACAACTCACTTCTCAAGTTTGCTATTTTTCAGGCAAGTGGTCATTATATTTCACTCACAAATTTCAGAAGCATTTTCAAAATTTGATATTAGCACTCCTCAAGCACAGAATAGGTATTTACTTCTCTGAGGTTAAGTCGTTTAGAAATACTTTTTACGGAACTTCAGAAAAATTGAGTAATTTTGTTTTTTCTTGAATTTTCCACACTTGCTAGGTTATATCGAGATGTCAAACATATTCTCCAATGCATACGGTCATTGCCATTGGGTGATTTGAGTAAATCTGATACCCCAAACTGGGGTCAGCTGGATGAATTCTTGGTGAAAAGATTTGGAAATGATGCTGTTCAGTAAACTATATTGTAAAGTAGCAACTCAATTGCTTCCGTGTGAAGGCTAACATACTGTGGAAGATATGGGGATGATTTAAACCTTCTTCACTCTGCATTTTTGTGTAACACTAAATTGAGGTAAAATTATTGCTACATTTTGTTCATAGCTTACAGGAGAGTTCTTGTTATCTTGATTAGTCTAAAGTCAAATAGGGAGCCATGGAAGCCATTAGTATCGGGCTCTTAGTGAGGGACTAGGGTGATTCAGCACTGTTGCATCGATAATGTAATTTGACTTTAATATAATTTTAGTTCCTGTAAAATGAACATGTTTCTTTATTTTTCGCCCTTGTGAGATTTGAAATTACTGTTTTTATTTCTTATAGTATGAGTGAATTTCGGATGTAGTGCATTTTTCTTTGATTTTCATCCCTCTAAAATTTGTGAAATTTGGGATTACTGTTTTTTAAATCTTATAAAATGAGTGAATTTAGGTTGTAGTCGTTATAATTCTTTTGTTTTAACTTTCATCCCTCTAAAATTTGAAATCATTATTTGTTTTGTCTCTAACATTCATTTTAAGATAAATAAATAATATTAATTCTACAGATCTTAAAATTTTGTCAGAAGTGTCACATGCTAACATTATATCATACACACTAGATGATGAGAGTATTATACAACATCGTTCCTTAGCTGTGATATAAAAGCTGAATTCCATTTTCTCCTTTTTCTTTCAGGCCTTTGGTTGGTCTATGGGTATACAAGGTAATGTATCATTTCTGAGCATTGTGCAGCCGTGGTTGGTCATTTAACAAGTTTTGTAGCAGTCGATGTTGATATTCAGAATTCTTGGTTTGTCTCCTTAATTGTAATGTTAAGTTGAAATAGATATGATTTAGTGAATGAATTAAGTTTTTCCCTCACCCCCAATCTTTCCCGTCGCTTCTTCACCCATGGATATGTACACAATTCCAGAAATCTATAGCGATATTACCAATTTGTGTCCTTTATTTGGATTTCTCACAAGTACCACCCTAAATTCAAAACTCTCTTAGTTTTTATTGAGCAACATAGTCTTCGCAATGTAATTATGTCAAACATATACCATTGAAAGTGTTATGGATATAACAGAGAGGTGTAGACATGATATTTTCCGTGATTAAATAATAGTTCAATGGTCCAGCAGGTGCATAATTGTGCTAAAACGGTGAACATTAGCGCAATTATAGATACTGCCGATCTGATAATGTATTACAAAGTTGTATTATTTTTTTGAGATACTGACATTGTGGTACGATTATGTTTTCAATGATTTTTTATAATAAAATATTTTTTTGGGTTCTTTTTATTTAGCTTAACAATTAAGTATAATTTTCAATTTAAATATGCTAAATTTTGTCTGAGGTAAATATACTTACGAAAGGAATTAGTTATATTAATATCATTTTTATTAATATACTTGTAGAAATTTAAAATTTCACGTCGATTCATATAAGGACGCAATTTTGATTTGAAATCTTTTAAATAAAGGAAATTTCTAAAATGTGTACGAAAGTTTTGTAAATCAAGGGCAGTAATAGTTATACTAAATGCCCTTTTGGGGAAATAGTGACACCAAAAACTTAGAAGCCGAGAATATTTAAATAACAGGAAACATATAGGTAGTATACAATAAAGAAATAATTATCAACAATAAAACAAGAATTTGCAAGACAAAAATCAATAAATATGGTGATAAAAAATACATCAATTTTGTAGGCTTAACTGAATTTTAGGTTTTCATAAATTTGAGTATTTTCACTTTAGTTTTTATTAATTTTTAGTCTATTGAGATTCAAAATTGTTATATCTTTTACATCATCATGGATGGTATACTAAGGGTATGTCTCCATCATTGTCATTCTATAGATTTGTTATTGTTATTCAACATAATTTCAATCAAAATAATAAAATTCACTTATAGTTTTACATTGCAATATCATTTTGTATTAAGTATAAAATTTCATATTTCGTAATACGAAAATATAAGTAAAATGATGAAGCAAGATAACAATTAAGTAACATATTTAAAGGAAAAATTAAATAAGAGTGATTTAGTTGAAAAATATAAAATATTTGAGTCCTCGATAAAAACAAATAGCAAAGACTTAATTGAAAACATCTAATCTTTTTAGGAATTGAAATTTAATTAAATCATTTTTTATTGTCAATTTTCGCATGTATTATAGAGTTTACTACAATGTAATTTTTTACCCTTAATATTATAAATAAAAAGTTTATATACAGATAAATTATTCAACAAATTGTCTTCAAAGTTATTTGTAAAGGAAAATAACATCCATTAGGTAATTTAAGAGAGTAATTAGGAGAGTAATTTAATATAGTAGTTTATTTATTTGGTAAATTTAAAATTCGTTCAAACAAAATGAGCTGTATTAATCAACAAATCAAAAGAAATTGAAACTTAGGAATTTTAAGAATGTATTTTAAATAATTAAAATAATATAATCTAAAATTAACTCAAAAAAAGAAAGAAAATAAAATTTTGCAATTAATCACCCTTTCTATATTAAAGGTATCAATTTGAGTCATGGCTCTTTGACTTGTGACTCATGGATAAGTCATAATTCACTCTTAAATAAACTTACATTTTATTAGTCAATCGTGACATCTTGGATTGACCTTTACTTCGGTCGACTTGAATCAACCTTTACTTCGGCCGACTTGAATCAACCTTTAATCGAATGGACTTCGACCGACTTTCGATTGGGCCAACTTGGGTCGTTCTTCACACCTAACCAGTTCGACTTAACCTTCGGCCTGAGTCGCTTGTTTCGAACCAACTTGGCTCAACCTTCAATCGGAACTAACTCAACTCAATTCTTCTGCCTAACTGACTAGAGTCGACCTTTGGCTCTAGCCAACATAGGTTGACCTTTGATTCAGACGGACTTGTAATGACCTTAGACCTAATCAATTCGGCTCGACCTTTAACCCTGATTGGTTTAGTTCAACATTTGATTTAGACAAACTCATCTTAATTCTTCGGCTTGGTCGACTCAAGTTGACCTTTTGCTCGAATCAACTCAAGGAGACCTTCATTTAGGGCAACTCATATCGATCTTGAGCTTGAGCATACTTGCCTCAACCTTTAGCCCTAATCGGCTTAAGTCAACTTGACTCGATTCTTCAGCCTAGTCAACCCAAGTTGACCTTTGACTTGAACCGACTTAACTCAATCTTCAATGGGCCAGCTCAACTTGACTTTCAACCAGACTTTTGACCCATTTAGTCCCGTACTTGTAGTGGTATATATACTTTGCAGAGTCATAAATAAAAGGATTATCACTATACCACCTATAAGGTTAGCCTTCTTAGCGTCTAGGATCAAATTAATGCCTATAGACGAGGACCTCTTGCTAATCCTCCCACACTTCTTTACTTGAGGATGAATGGTATTAAAGTGTTAGGATAACTCCTATTTCAGAATCTCTACATCAATATATACATGATTGAACAACACCATAAAATCTTTCCACTAGATTCATGGAATTACACCAAACACATATACCATGCACATCTCCAATAGCAAAACCAATCATCATCATATGTCATACATGAATAAAAGCCATACATACTTACAATCACGTTATCAATCTATTAAGCATAATAATTTATATAATAAGCAAGCATAGAGTCCACAACAAACCATAAAAGTTAGAAAAATCATAGAAAGTTGCACTGACGCTCAGTGCAAGAGTCCTTGCAAATGTGTGCGCTCAGCGCCAATCTTTGGCGCTTAGTGCAAAACTCTCGCAGTTTTTCTCGCCCAGCAAGACCAACCTCTCGCTGAGCAAATTATGAAGAAAAAGGGGTCCAAACTTGTAGGGAAAAGTGACGTTCAATGGTACAAAGCCACTGCTCAACACTAAAACATTCATATAATTGGTCGCTCAATGGCACAAACCTGATGCTCAGCGTCCTGGACTTGAAATGTTCCCTACCAAGCTTATGCTCAAGGCCATACCATAAAAACATAAATTAAACACTACAAATTGGGAAACTAGGAATATGTTCAAATGACCATATTGGTATTCCTGACTCAATACACGGTTCTAAAATAGGTTTAAGTATCAGAATGAATACTAATTAAAATGACCAGATTGAGAATTCCTCAACTCAACCCCAATCTCAACAAGACAAGGACACACTCAACAGAAAACAATAGTAATTCCACATACCAAAATCTTCATTTTTAGACCAAATCAAACATGCATCACAATGTATCAAAACATAGGCAATATCAAAAGTGGTAGTTAACTTCCCTTACCTAACATATGACCAAATTGTTCTAAAATGCCCAAAATAGTATCAAACACGCAAGAACATCTATCTACTCCTATGAACAACAGAAACATGATCAGTGTATATTGTTAAAACCATTAATCAACATAAATTCTTATAGAAGACTCAAACATCACATGCAACTACGAAAAAATTACATGCAAGAGAAAAACAAAACTGACAAAAAAAGAGAGCAGAAACTAAGTTACTTTATCTGAGAAATGATCGGATAGATTTGAGAATCTTGTCTCAGGGACCATTCCAACAGTTTTTGATCTTCAAACAGATGAACATGGAATGAGAACTCCAAAAGGAGTCAGGTAAATGATTTCTAAAAAGATATATATTTTAAAATAATAAAACTCATTTATAACAAAACTATTTATATTAAAATATTTTAATATTAAAATAGTAGAGTCTCACTTCTCTTTTTTTTAAATGTCATTTTATAGAACTTTACAATCATTATATTAAAATTATTAATAATGTTAATTCTGAATTGAGAAAATGATAAAGTTAATCAAATTCACCATACACAAATAAATAAATATATACTTGTTTATAATTAGTGATCATGTAATAAATTTATAATTTTTATTTGTAGAAAATTTATTCTGATTTTCATTATTTGTCAGCATAAATTATTTATATTAACCATTAATTTAAAATCATAAAAAAAATTAAAATAGTTATTATAAAATTTAACAAGATTACCGTATAATAAAGTATTATTGTTGTCTAGACTATACTATTATAAAGAGGATTTCTCTTTTTAATTTATACATTTTTTATTTAATTATTCTTTTAGTTTAATCAATTTTTAAATTAAATAAATAAAAATATATATTATCAACACACTCTAATAATTAAATTGAGCACCGAAACAATAATTAAATAGAGCATCTTAAAATAATAATTAAATTGAGCAAGTATCATAGTTGAATAACATATCTATCAAAGCATTGGTAACGGACTAAAAAATGTAATAAAAAACTCGAAATGCGATTTGCACTTGACTCAACCAAAGCTGTAACGGCTACTTAGAGGAGAACCGTTGGATGCGTGGACACGTGGTACGCTCCTCGAGGCATATTTTCTCCTTTCTTCTCTTCACTTTCTTTCTCTTTGCTACAATCACTTCACACACTGAACTGTGTCTACTTCTGCTGTGCTTCCTTTTCAATTAGGGTTTTCTCATTTCCAAGATCAACGTCAACATGAACATCTTCAAGAAGAAAACCTCACCCAAAGGTGCACCCCTTTTTCTTCCTCTTTTTCTCTTTCAAAATTTTCCACATTGCTTTATTTCCCTTTTTCCGTAAAGCTTATGATTTGCGTTCAGAATTCGAACTTTTCTTTCCTCTTAGAATTGGATCTAGTTTTCGTTGAGAAGACATACCCGGGTCTTTAGAATTTTAAAAACATTTTGGGTTTTGTACTGCTAATTTTGTAGAATTATTTTTTTTTGTCCATATTTTGTGGTATTGTTTGAATTTGGTGAAGGTTGGAAAGGAAGTAGGAGGGTTGAACTTCTTATTGTGTCTGGGTAGTGGCACTCATTTGCGTCTGTTTTTAATTTTAATGACAGAAGCTCTGCGTTCAAGTAAGAGGGAAATGGCTGTTGCAACCAGAGGTAATTACTTGAATGGTTGATGATTCAGAAGTTGTAGCATTTACTATCTGCTTGTATGACGCAATGGGGATTTTGTTTTCATTGAGAAATGTTTTTCCCCAAATAGCAAAGAATTAGCTTGCTTGAGTACAATGGTACATCACATCTGGGTCTTACTTCTGTGTGTAATCTCTCCCTAACTCTTGCTTTCATCAAATTGAATAAACTTGGAACCTCATAGGGTTAGGGAAATTACAAGAATAAAATCAATTTATGAATTCAGCTGCGAGACCCTGAGCATGTGCTCTGATAATTTATGAATTACAAGAATAATGTTTGTGTTAATGCAAGTGAATTTCCTTTTTGAATATAATGTATATCGTATGAGGCTGCATATTTCATGTGATAAATAGTTGAGATGGCCGAAGCTAATAGTTAAAAATCATATATAGGAGAACCTAGCAAACAATTTTATGGGTAGTGTTCAATTAAGATTTCCCGTGCAAACTATTTTTGGTTGATCTTTTTAAAATGATTTTCTTCAATATTTGTGAACAGGAGAAGTTGCTAATTACTGTCTTCCTTTTGCTTCCCTACTACCATAACTGTTTGTATGAATCAAACCGAAATACTACTGATTTGTTGTGGAGGACATAATCTTAAATCCCTAAAAATTATATTTGTTTTCAGTCGGTTCCCTTGCCAACCAATAGACCATTTGGTAGTTCCATTTGATTAGCCCGTGTAATTTTTAGTAGAAAATATTCAGGCCGATATACATAAGTCAACCTACCTCAACTTTCAACAACATTTTTTGTTTCTCAACTTTATTTTTGTCCTTGCTCCTAATTTTTAGTTTTGTCCTAAGTAGTTCTGTCTTACCTTAATGGTTTCTTGTATCTATATTTCCCTAATGATTTTCCTTTAAAACCATTACCTTGAATTTTGACCAATCATTTTTGTTTTCTTATTTTTTGTGTCTGTGCTACAAATTTTATAATTTCTTGCATGTGTAGTTTAATCTTTTTAGGAGGTTTGTGTTAGATGGATATGGTTCTTGTTATTTTTTAGAAAATGAATTTTAAGTCTAACTCAATCACAAAATCGGCTTGTAAGTTGAATTTTTCACCCACTTATATACTATAATTTAGTTGTATCGTTAGTCGTTATGAGATTTTTAACACATTCTCTCATACCGAGAATTTGACATCTCAATTGTGGAACAAATAGAAATGGATTCAATAACTGGTCACACAGTATGCCCAACAAACCTCATTAGGATAAACTTTGANGAATCAACTCAAGGAGACCTTCATTTAGGGCAACTCATATCGATCTTGAGCTTGAGCATACTTGCCTCAACCTTTAGCCCTAATCGGCTTAAGTCAACTTGACTCGATTCTTCAGCCTAGTCAACCCAAGTTGACCTTTGACTTGAACCGACTTAACTCAATCTTCAATGGGCCAGCTCAACTTGACTTTCAACCAGACTTTTGACCCATTTAGTCCCGTACTTGTAGTGGTATATATACTTTGCAGAGTCATAAATAAAAGGATTATCACTATACCACCTATAAGGTTAGCCTTCTTAGCGTCTAGGATCAAATTAATGCCTATAGACGAGGACCTCTTGCTAATCCTCCCACACTTCTTTACTTGAGGATGAATGGTATTAAAGTGTTAGGATAACTCCTATTTCAGAATCTCTACATCAATATATACAAGATTGAACAACACCATAAAATCTTTCCACTAGATTCATGGAATTACAACAAACACATATACCATGCACATCTCCAATAGCAAAACCAATCATCATCATATGTCATACATGAATAAAAGCCATACATACTTACAATCACGTTATCAATCTATTAAGCATAATAATTTATATAATAAGCAAGCATAGAGTCCACAACAAACCATAAAAGTTAGAAAAATCATAGAAAGTTGCACTGACGCTCAGTGCAAGAGTCCTTGCAAATGTGTGCGCTCAGCGCCAATCTTTGGCGCTTAGTGCAAAACTCTCGCAGTTTTTCTCGCCCAGCAAGACCAACCTCTCGCTGAGCAAATTATGAAGAAAAAGGGGTCCAAACTTGTAGGGAAAAGTGACGTTCAATGGTACAAAGCCACTGCTCAACACAAAAACATTCATATAATTGATCGCTCAATGGCACAAACCTGATGCTCAGCGTCCTGGACTTGAAATGTTCCCTACCAAGCTTATGCTCAAGGCCATACCATAAAAACATAAATTAAACACTACAAATTGGGAAACTAAGAATATGTTCAAATGACCATATTGGTATTCCTGACTCAATACACGGTTCTAAAATAGGTTTAAGTATCAGAATGAATACTAATTAAAATGACCAGATTGAGAATTCCTCAACTCAACCCCAATCTCAACAAGACAAGGACACACTCAACAGAAAACAATAGTAATTCCACATACCAAAATCTTCATTTTTAGACCAAATCAAACATGCATCACAATGTATCAAAACATAGGCAATATCAAAAGTGGTAGTTAACTTCCCTTACCTAACATATGACCAAATTGTTCTAAAATGCCCAAAATAGTATCAAACACGCAAGAACATCTATCTACTCCTATGAACAACAGAAACATGATCAGTGTATATTGTTAAAACCATTAATCAACATAAATTCTTATAGAAGACTCAAACATCACATGCAACTACGAAAAAATTACATGCAAGAGAAAAACAAAACTGACAAAAAAAGAGAGCAGAAACTAAGTTACTTTATCTGAGAAATGATCGGATAGATTTGAGAATCTTGTCTCAGGGACCATTCCAACAGTTTTTGATCTTCAAACAGATGAACATGGAATGAGAACTCCAAAAGGAGTCAGGTAAATGATTTCTAAAAAGATATATATTTTAAAATAATAAAACTCATTTATAACAAAACTATTTATATTAAAATATTTTAATATTAAAATAGTAGAGTCTCACTTCTCTTTTTTTTAAATGTCATTTTATAGAACTTTACAATCATTATATTAAAATTATTAATAATGTTAATTCTGAATTGAGAAAATGATAAAGTTAATCAAATTCACCATACACAAATAAATAAATATATACTTGTTTATAATTAGTGATCATGTAATAAATTTATAATTTTTATTTGTAGAAAATTTATTCTGATTTTCATTATTTGTCAGCATAAATTATTTATATTAACCATTAATTTAAAATCATAAAAAAAATTAAAATAGTTATTATAAAATTTAACAAGATTACCGTATAATAAAGTATTATTGTTGTCTAGACTATACTATTATAAAGAGGATTTCTCTTTTTAATTTATACATTTTTTATTTAATTATTCTTTTAGTTTAATCAATTTTTAAATTAAATAAATAAAAATATATATTATCAACACACTCTAATAATTAAATTGAGCACCGAAACAATAATTAAATAGAGCATCTTAAAATAATAATTAAATTGAGCAAGTATCATAGTTGAATAACATATCTATCAAAGCATTGGTAACGGACTAAAAAATGTAATAAAAAACTCGAAATGCGATTTGCACTTGACTCAACCAAAGCTGTAACGGCTACTTAGAGGAGAACCGTTGGATGCGTGGACACGTGGTACGCTCCTCGAGGCATATTTTCTCCTTTCTTCTCTTCACTTTCTTTCTCTTTGCTACAATCACTTCACACACTGAACTGTGTCTACTTCTGCTGTGCTTCCTTTTCAATTAGGGTTTTCTCATTTCCAAGATCAACGTCAACATGAACATCTTCAAGAAGAAAACCTCACCCAAAGGTGCACCCCTTTTTCTTCCTCTTTTTCTCTTTCAAAATTTTCCACATTGCTTTATTTCCCTTTTTCCGTAAAGCTTATGATTTGCGTTCAGAATTCGAACTTTTCTTTCCTCTTAGAATTGGATCTAGTTTTCGTTGAGAAGACATACCCGGGTCTTTAGAATTTTAAAAACATTTTGGGTTTTGTGCTGCTAATTTTGTAGATTTTTTTTTTGTCCATATTTTGTGGTATTGTTTGAATTTGGTGAAGGTTGGAAAGGAAGTAGGAGGGTTGAACTTCTTATTGTGTCTGGGTAGTGGCACTCATTTGCGTCTGTTTTTGATTTTAATGACAGAAGCTCTGCGTTCAAGTAAGAGGGAAATGGCTGTTGCAACCAGAGGTAATTACTTGAATGGTTGATGATTCAGAAGTTGTAGCATTTACTATCTGCTTGTATGACGCAATGGGGATTTTGTTTTCATTGAGAAATGTTTTTCCCCAAATAGCAAAGAATTAGCTTGCTTGAGTACAATGGTACATCACATCTGGGTCTTACTTCTGTGTGTAATCTCTCCCTAACTCTTGCTTTCATCAAATTGAATAAACTTGGAACCTCATAGGGTTAGGGAAATTACAAGAATAAAATCAATTTATGAATTCAGCTGCGAGACCCTGAGCATGTGCTCTGATAATTTATGAATTACAAGAATAATGTTTGTGTTAATGCAAGTGAATTTCCTTTTTGAATATAATGTATATCGTATGAGGCTGCATATTTCATGTGATAAATAGTTGAGATGGCCGAAGCTAATAGTTAAAAATCATATATAGGAGAACCTAGCAAACAATTTTATGGGTAGTGTTCAATTAAGATTTCCCGTGCAAACTATTTTTGGTTGATCTTTTTAAAATGATTTTCTTCAATATTTGTGAACAGGAGAAGTTGCTAATTACTGTCTTCCTTTTGCTTCCCTACTACCATAACTGTTTGTATGAATCAAACCGAAATACTACTGATTTGTTGTGGGGGACATAATCTTAAATCCCTAAAGATTATATTTGTTTTCAGTCGGTTCCCTTGCCAACCAATAGACCATTTGGTAGTTCCATTTGATTAGCCCGTGTAATTTTTAGTAGAAAATATTCAGGCCGATATACATAAGTCAACCTTCCTCAACTTTCAACAACATTTTTTGTTTCTCAACTTTATTTTTGTCCTTGCTCCTAATTTTTAGTTTTGTCCTAAGTAGTTCTGTCTTACCTTAATGGTTTCTTGTATCTATATTTCCCTAATGATTTTCCTTTAAAACCATTACCTTGAATTTTGACCAATCATTTTTGTTTTCTTATTTTTTGTGTCTGTGCTACAAATTTTATAATTTCTTGCATGTGTAGTTTAATCTTTTTAGGAGGTTTGTGTTAGATGGATATGGTTCTTGTTATTTTTTAGAAAATGAATTTTAAGTCTAACTCAATCACAAAATCGGCTTGTAAGTTGAATTTTTCACCCACTTATATACTATAATTTAGTTGTATCGTTAGTCGTTATGAGATTTTTAACACATTCTCTCATACCGAGAATTTGACATCTCAATTGTGGAACAAATAGAAATGGATTCAATAACTGGTCACACAGTATGCCCAACAAACCTCATTAGGATAAACTTTGATATACCATCTTAGAAAGTAGACTCTAAATCTAACTCAATCTTATAAAGTTAACTTATAAGGTGAAGTTTGCATCCATATATATATATATATATATATATATATATATATNGACTCAATACACGGTTCTAAAATAGGTTTAAGTATCAGAATGAATACTAATTAAAATGACCAGATTGAGAATTCCTCAACTCAACCCCAATCTCAACAAGACAAGGACACACTCAACAGAAAACAATAGTAATTCCACATACCAAAATCTTCATTTTTAGACCAAATCAAACATGCATCACAATGTATCAAAACATAGGCAATATCAAAAGTGGTAGTTAACTTCCCTTACCTAACATATGACCAAATTGTTCTAAAATGCCCAAAATAGTATCAAACACGCAAGAACATCTATCTACTCCTATGAACAACAGAAACATGATCAGTGTATATTGTTAAAACCATTAATCAACATAAATTCTTATAGAAGACTCAAACATCACATGCAACTACGAAAAAATTACATGCAAGAGAAAAACAAAACTGACAAAAAAAGAGAGCAGAAACTAAGTTACTTTATCTGAGAAATGATCGGATAGATTTGAGAATCTTGTCTCAGGGACCATTCCAACAGTTTTTGATCTTCAAACAGATGAACATGGAATGAGAACTCCAAAAGGAGTCAGGTAAATGATTTCTAAAAAGATATATATTTTAAAATAATAAAACTCATTTATAACAAAACTATTTATATTAAAATATTTTAATATTAAAATAGTAGAGTCTCACTTCTCTTTTTTTTAAATGTCATTTTATAGAACTTTACAATCATTATATTAAAATTATTAATAATGTTAATTCTGAATTGAGAAAATGATAAAGTTAATCAAATTCACCATACACAAATAAATAAATATATACTTGTTTATAATTAGTGATCATGTAATAAATTTATAATTTTTATTTGTAGAAAATTTATTCTGATTTTCATTATTTGTCAGCATAAATTATTTATATTAACCATTAATTTAAAATCATAAAAAAAATTAAAATAGTTATTATAAAATTTAACAAGATTACCGTATAATAAAGTATTATTGTTGTCTAGACTATACTATTATAAAGAGGATTTCTCTTTTTAATTTATACATTTTTTATTTAATTATTCTTTTAGTTTAATCAATTTTTAAATTAAATAAATAAAAATATATATTATCAACACACTCTAATAATTAAATTGAGCACCGAAACAATAATTAAATAGAGCATCTTAAAATAATAATTAAATTGAGCAAGTATCATAGTTGAATAACATATCTATCAAAGCATTGGTAACGGACTAAAAAATGTAATAAAAAACTCGAAATGCGATTTGCACTTGACTCAACCAAAGCTGTAACGGCTACTTAGAGGAGAACCGTTGGATGCGTGGACACGTGGTACGCTCCTCGAGGCATATTTTCTCCTTTCTTCTCTTCACTTTCTTTCTCTTTGCTACAATCACTTCACACACTGAACTGTGTCTACTTCTGCTGTGCTTCCTTTTCAATTAGGGTTTTCTCATTTCCAAGATCAACGTCAACATGAACATCTTCAAGAAGAAAACCTCACCCAAAGGTGCACCCCTTTTTCTTCCTCTTTTTCTCTTTCAAAATTTTCCACATTGCTTTATTTCCCTTTTTCCGTAAAGCTTATGATTTGCGTTCAGAATTCGAACTTTTCTTTCCTCTTAGAATTGGATCTAGTTTTCGTTGAGAAGACATACCCGGGTCTTTAGAATTTTAAAAACATTTTGGGTTTTGTGCTGCTAATTTTGTAGATTTTTTTTTTGTCCATATTTTGTGGTATTGTTTGAATTTGGTGAAGGTTGGAAAGGAAGTAGGAGGGTTGAACTTCTTATTGTGTCTGGGTAGTGGCACTCATTTGCGTCTGTTTTTGATTTTAATGACAGAAGCTCTGCGTTCAAGTAAGAGGGAAATGGCTGTTGCAACCAGAGGTAATTACTTGAATGGTTGATGATTCAGAAGTTGTAGCATTTACTATCTGCTTGTATGACGCAATGGGGATTTTGTTTTCATTGAGAAATGTTTTTCCCCAAATAGCAAAGAATTAGCTTGCTTGAGTACAATGGTACATCACATCTGGGTCTTACTTCTGTGTGTAATCTCTCCCTAACTCTTGCTTTCATCAAATTGAATAAACTTGGAACCTCATAGGGTTAGGGAAATTACAAGAATAAAATCAATTTATGAATTCAGCTGCGAGACCCTGAGCATGTGCTCTGATAATTTATGAATTACAAGAATAATGTTTGTGTTAATGCAAGTGAATTTCCTTTTTGAATATAATGTATATCGTATGAGGCTGCATATTTCATGTGATAAATAGTTGAGATGGCCGAAGCTAATAGTTAAAAATCATATATAGGAGAACCTAGCAAACAATTTTATGGGTAGTGTTCAATTAAGATTTCCCGTGCAAACTATTTTTGGTTGATCTTTTTAAAATGATTTTCTTCAATATTTGTGAACAGGAGAAGTTGCTAATTACTGTCTTCCTTTTGCTTCCCTACTACCATAACTGTTTGTATGAATCAAACCGAAATACTACTGATTTGTTGTGGGGGACATAATCTTAAATCCCTAAAGATTATATTTGTTTTCAGTCGGTTCCCTTGCCAACCAATAGACCATTTGGTAGTTCCATTTGATTAGCCCGTGTAATTTTTAGTAGAAAATATTCAGGCCGATATACATAAGTCAACCTTCCTCAACTTTCAACAACATTTTTTGTTTCTCAACTTTATTTTTGTCCTTGCTCCTAATTTTTAGTTTTGTCCTAAGTAGTTCTGTCTTACCTTAATGGTTTCTTGTATCTATATTTCCCTAATGATTTTCCTTTAAAACCATTACCTTGAATTTTGACCAATCATTTTTGTTTTCTTATTTTTTGTGTCTGTGCTACAAATTTTATAATTTCTTGCATGTGTAGTTTAATCTTTTTAGGAGGTTTGTGTTAGATGGATATGGTTCTTGTTATTTTTTAGAAAATGAATTTTAAGTCTAACTCAATCACAAAATCGGCTTGTAAGTTGAATTTTTCACCCACTTATATACTATAATTTAGTTGTATCGTTAGTCGTTATGAGATTTTTAACACATTCTCTCATACCGAGAATTTGACATCTCAATTGTGGAACAAATAGAAATGGATTCAATAACTGGTCACACAGTATGCCCAACAAACCTCATTAGGATAAACTTTGATATACCATCTTAGAAAGTAGACTCTAAATCTAACTCAATCTTATAAAGTTAACTTATAAGGTGAAGTTTGCATCCATATATATATATATATATGTATGTATGTATGTATATTATATTTTAACAATATCTCTAGTCAAATTGGGATCTCCAATGTTATTAATGACCAATTTCATAATATATGTTTTAAATTCCATTCAAATTAAGAAAAATTAACCAGAAGCTAATGAAGTGCTTGATGGGTAGGATCAAGACAGATATGGACACCAAAATAATACTCAAATTATGTATTTCTTCATAAAGGACTTCTTTCAAAACATTGGCGTCAACATAGGTTGAGTGTCACTAATGGTTATATCATATATGGCTGTACATTTAAAAATATTATTAGGAATTAGTAAGGCTTGACATTCGATATTGTTCTCTGTTTTCTTCTCTTCATTTTCCTGTTATTTTTGTCTTTGGGATGTACATTTAAAGGTATTACAAAATATCAAGGGTTCAAACTTAGTTCATATTTCCATAAGGCAACTCTTATGTTTGTTTTCTTTTTCTTTCATTTAATCTTGTAGGAATTGAAAGAGAGATAACATCACTTCAGATGGAGGTACATAATGATAACAAAGACATTCTTAGTGTTTTGCTTTCTGTTTCATATTTCTATTTAGTGCTTCATTTCCTTGTCAATTGCAGGAAAAAAAATTGGTGGCAGAAATTAAGAGAGAAGCAAAAACTGGAAACGAAGTACGTTTCTCATTTAAATGCCTATCCTCCACAATTGTTAATGAGCCACAAAACCATACTTGTTTTTTGTTTATGTGGTCCACAGGTTATAGACCATATGATATTGATAACAATCTTTGATCTGTTGTATATCTGTGTTTTCATCTCACTTTGGATTTCCAGTTCACCAGTGTACTCGCCACCATTAGTCTCTGGGGAATGATAGTGTATTAGTTCATTTTATTCAACAGAGTAATTTATATGTTAATTTGAGCTTCAGTTGTAAGCTCATTTGCCTATTTCCAAGATAATATCCCGTGTTTTGTGTATATGAACCTGTTTTATTGACATTCATGATAATAGCTACATAGAAATACTGAATAAGGAAGTGTTGGGTTACAGGCTGCCACCAGAATCTTAGCTCGTCAACTTGTTAGGTTACGTCAACAGATAACCAATTTGCAGGGAAGTCGTGCACAGATCAGGGGTGTAGCAACTCACACACAGGTATGCAGTTTGATTTTAACAATATCAAGACTCTTAGTTTTTCATAATTTCCAAATTTCTTTTGCAGGCATTATATGCAAGCACTTCAATCTCCACAGGAATGAAGGGTGCAACTAAAGCAATGGTGGCAATGAATAAGGTAATGTTACCCAAATTTATTCTTCATCATATCACTCAAATTATGGAATGCATTTCTTTTATTAATTGTTTGTGTTATCCAAGGTTCCTATCCTTGGTCCTAAATCTGAATTTAGTAAATGGCCAAAAAGTCTTGAACTTGAGTATTCCATTGAATATGTTGACTGAAAGCTTATATTAGGTTTTTCTTCAATTTTCTTTTTTCACTGAATCAAAAGTTCATATATGTGAGATTCTTTTGTGAAATTGATGGATCTTTCCAGACATGACTAAATGATGCATTATCTTTTCTTCTCAGCAAATGGCACCGGCAAAACAAGTGAAAGTGATCAGAGAATTCCAAAAGCAATCAGCCCAATTGGACATGACGGTAATTTACCCTTTTAACCAAGATTTCTGATGTGTTCTCATGCAAGTTTTATGCATTAGTGGTAGCCTTTTATTTTAGACCGATCCAGTATGGTCTTTCACTAGGTAGCATATAACCCAGTTGTCTTAACAATAATATGTCAATATTGTGAGATGTTGTTAGGAGGACGGACCCTGGAATCTGTTGGTTGGCATTTACAGCAACTCTTTCAGTCCATGAAAGAGGGTTTTGCACACTAAAAATTGAAAGAAGTTATTTTTTCATTTCAGCATAAATTACTGTTAGTTTAAACTCTCAATTCAGTGTATTTTCAATTGTGTCGTTATTGCATGGTCCATCTAAAGCATGGTGGTTCATAGATAAAAAAGTCATTTTCATTACCAATATCTAATAACAATATATTTTAATTGGAAGATTGATTTAAGAAATAAACAGTTAAAAAAAGAAAAACATGTGTACCAAAAGATAGGGACGAAAACAATGAAGATGAGGACTATGGATGTAAGTTAATGTGTGTCAGCCATTAAGCTTAGTTTTCAGCTGAAAGCAAATGGAAATCTGCATGGAAAAGGATGTTGTACTAGCAACAGCGCAAAAGAAACATGGAAGGCAGAACTGAAATAGTAATAACAAAAAGGCTTTTTTAAAGTCTAGGGAGTAGCCAAGTTGTGCTCGAGTATTAAGTAGAAGCAACCAAAAAGGAAGTATCCATGAAAAGTATTGGCTTCGTGTCTCAGTAGTTTCTGTGTTGCTGTAAACTGCTAAGAGGGTGTTTTATAGGGAAGTTGGAAAACACTAGCGTTTTCAATTTTTAAATAGATTATTATTACCCTGTTCAAATTTGCAATTAACTGGAAATGATTATTTTTAAGAGTGCACTTGTTTTTTATTAAAAATAAAACGGGGTGCTTATTAAATTTGTGAAACAAAAGGCATCTATGGCAAACAGCTGTGATGCCTGTGCCTGATAGTGATATTCAAGTTCAGCTCCACCAATGCATTTGATGATATTTTCGTTTGCTTCATAAATTTATAACTTAATGTATTTGTAGATTGAGATGATGTCAGAATCTATTGATGAAACTTTAGACAAAGATGAAGCCGAAGAAGAAACCGAAGAGCTCACCAACCAGGTGAATATGAATAACCAACTTCTTAATTGTACAGCCTGATATTATAAGTATTCTCTTTTTCTAAAATTTCCATTTTATTCTTGATAGGTTCTTGATGAGATTGGAGTGGATATTGCATCCCAGGTTGGTTTTAGACACAGCATGAATCCTTTGTCTTTGCACTAATTATTTCATTCAATTAGTTTTCTGAATGTTGAACCTGATGGTGATATTTTATGATGGTAGTTATCTTCTGCTCCGAAAGGACGAATTGCTTCAAGGAATACTGAAAATGTTGCTCCAAGGTACATTTTATAGGTCAAGTTGCTTCAAGGAATACTGGCTGTTTTGTATTAGACTATCCTTAAAAAAAGTTGTTGATCTTTCAGTTAAAGCTTTTAAAACACTTTTTATTGTGTTGACTGTGGTATTTTATGAGAGAAAATTCTTTTTGGATGCAGATCAGAAGAATCCCAAGATGTTGAAGAACTTGAAAAGAGATTGGCATCTCTTCGAAGAATATAAATATCTGGCTGCTACGCTCGCTCATGTGTTTCTTAATGTACAAATCGTTATATATAATATAGCAATGCAGAGATTGTATTATTGGCACCTCATAGTTACAAAATTTATGCTGTTGTGTTTGGATGTGAAGAACTAGTAAAAGTAGACTGGGATATTTGAGACTGCTGCAAACCTTTATTAAAATTTGGGAATTTGTAAATCTGTATGTGGGTATTTTTTAATTTTTTTTGTGGTTATTTTTTTTTTTTGAAAAGAGACACTGTGTTGTGTTGATGTGAAAAAAGAGACAGCACAGAAGCCAATGCAAGTGGCTTCCATGCAAGAATGAAGATGAATGCAGTAAAAGGTGACTGATTTATGATGTTTTTTCCTACAATAATTCATGTTAAAAAATCACTATATATCGATGATGGCACCTTTTTCTACTCTAATTCTTGTTTAAAAATACTACATAATCGAGTATGTACTGTATATAATAAATAAATGAAATGATAACATACATAAATAATAAAATAATATTACAATAAAACTTTTTTTCCTTTTTCTCTGTTTTTTCTAACTCAAACAGTCAATTTTATCCATTTGTGTTTTCTTTCTTTATTTTGTTCTCTATTGTGAGAGCTTAAGATCACAATGTGTAATGAAATTCAACCAGAGTGAGAGAGGTAATTTGAAATCGGATTTAGCTGACATCGACTTTGTATTATAGTTTGACTTTATGATTAGAGTTCCTAGTTTAGGTGCAGAAGGATAATAGAAGGCACAAAATCCATTTGTCCTTTGAGGCATTAATAAAAGTTTTCATAGAAATATTCTACTGGAATATGCAACACAAGATAGTAGAATTATTTGGACGTAAATCACAATAACTCAATTCTCCAATGAATTTTTCAAAACGACCCTTTTGTCCCTGTATTACATGTGTGTGCGGTTGGTTGGACCTTTTTCTCCTTCTCCAATGGCGGTGGTTGACGGTGGCGTGTAGCGGTGATCACTAAATGGTGCTTCCAATAATTTTGAGTGCATATTCTGGCACCCAATGAAAAAAGAAAAAAACTGAGACATCAAGTCATTGTGAAACAGTGTTACAAAGATGGGAGAGTATATTATATTGTACATAGATAGACTTTGGTATCTTTCACTATACAGAGAATGGAGAAGCAGTTGACTCTAGGCATCTTAGCAGACTCTACACATATTCTTGCATAATAAAACTATTATTAGCAAACATACTAAATATGCTAATTCTAATTCGAGGTGTGAAAAACGCTATCATACAACCTCAGCAAAAGGTGGGCCTCCTTGGTAATCACTTCAAAGAAAAAATCTTCTCCTTGTATGCATAAACATAAAATAGCTCCAGCAGTCTCAAACACATACTGGATAAAATGTATTACTTCTATTGCAGCCATTTCAGATTCACGGACAATATCTTCAAGCTCCAGCGGCTGATGATAAGTAAAATAATGTTCCTTTACACTTATATAACATAATAATGTGATAAGAGTCTCATTTCTTATCTGTTGTAACGCCCACAACAACATTACTCACCTGTGACATCGAATTCTAGTAAGNAACAATCTTTGATCTGTTGTATATCTGTGTTTTCATCTCACTTTGGATTTCCAGTTCACCAGTGTACTCGCCACCATTAGTCTCTGGGGAATGATAGTGTATTAGTTCATTTTATTCAACAGAGTAATTTATATGTTAATTTGAGCTTCAGTTGTAAGCTCATTTGCCTATTTCCAAGATAATATCCCGTGTTTTGTGTATATGAACCTGTTTTATTGACATTCATGATAATAGCTACATAGAAATACTGAATAAGGAAGTGTTGGGTTACAGGCTGCCACCAGAATCTTAGCTCGTCAACTTGTTAGGTTACGTCAACAGATAACCAATTTGCAGGGAAGTCGTGCACAGATCAGGGGTGTAGCAACTCACACACAGGTATGCAGTTTGATTTTAACAATATCAAGACTCTTAGTTTTTCATAATTTCCAAATTTCTTTTGCAGGCATTATATGCAAGCACTTCAATCTCCACAGGAATGAAGGGTGCAACTAAAGCAATGGTGGCAATGAATAAGGTAATGTTACCCAAATTTATTCTTCATCATATCACTCAAATTATGGAATGCATTTCTTTTATTAATTGTTTGTGTTATCCAAGGTTCCTATCCTTGGTCCTAAATCTGAATTTAGTAAATGGCCAAAAAGTCTTGAACTTGAGTATTCCATTGAATATGTTGACTGAAAGCTTATATTAGGTTTTTCTTCAATTTTCTTTTTTCACTGAATCAAAAGTTCATATATGTGAGATTCTTTTGTGAAATTGATGGATCTTTCCAGACATGACTAAATGATGCATTATCTTTTCTTCTCAGCAAATGGCACCGGCAAAACAAGTGAAAGTGATCAGAGAATTCCAAAAGCAATCAGCCCAATTGGACATGACGGTAATTTACCCTTTTAACCAAGATTTCTGATGTGTTCTCATGCAAGTTTTATGCATTAGTGGTAGCCTTTTATTTTAGACCGATCCAGTATGGTCTTTCACTAGGTAGCATATAACCCAGTTGTCTTAACAATAATATGTCAATATTGTGAGATGTTGTTAGGAGGACGGACCCTGGAATCTGTTGGTTGGCATTTACAGCAACTCTTTCAGTCCATGAAAGAGGGTTTTGCACACTAAAAATTGAAAGAAGTTATTTTTTCATTTCAGCATAAATTACTGTTAGTTTAAACTCTCAATTCAGTGTATTTTCAATTGTGTCGTTATTGCATGGTCCATCTAAAGCATGGTGGTTCATAGATAAAAAAGTCATTTTCATTACCAATATCTAATAACAATATATTTTAATTGGAAGATTGATTTAAGAAATAAACAGTTAAAAAAAGAAAAACATGTGTACCAAAAGATAGGGACGAAAACAATGAAGATGAGGACTATGGATGTAAGTTAATGTGTGTCAGCCATTAAGCTTAGTTTTCAGCTGAAAGCAAATGGAAATCTGCATGGAAAAGGATGTTGTACTAGCAACAGCGCAAAAGAAACATGGAAGGCAGAACTGAAATAGTAATAACAAAAAGGCTTTTTTAAAGTCTAGGGAGTAGCCAAGTTGTGCTCGAGTATTAAGTAGAAGCAACCAAAAAGGAAGTATCCATGAAAAGTATTGGCTTCGTGTCTCAGTAGTTTCTGTGTTGCTGTAAACTGCTAAGAGGGTGTTTTATAGGGAAGTTGGAAAACACTAGCGTTTTCAATTTTTAAATAGATTATTATTACCCTGTTCAAATTTACAATTAACTGGAAATGATTATTTTTAAGAGTGCACTTGTTTTTTATTAAAAATAAAACGGGGTGCTTATTAAATTTGTGAAACAAAAGGCATCTATGGCAAACAGCTGTGATGCCTGTGCCTGATAGTGATATTCAAGTTCAGCTCCACCAATGCATTTGATGATATTTTCGTTTGCTTCATAAATTTATAACTTAATGTATTTGTAGATTGAGATGATGTCAGAATCTATTGATGAAACTTTAGACAAAGATGAAGCCGAAGAAGAAACCGAAGAGCTCACCAACCAGGTGAATATGAATAACCAACTTCTTAATTGTACAGCCTGATATTATAAGTATTCTCTTTTTCTAAAATTTCCATTTTATTCATGATAGGTTCTTGATGAGATTGGAGTGGATATTGCATCCCAGGTTGGTTTTAGACACAGCATGAATCATTTGTCTTTGCACTAATTATTTCATTCAATTAGTTTTCTGAATGTTGAACCTGATGGTGATATTTTATGATGGTAGTTATCTTCTGCTCCGAAAGGACGAATTGCTTCAAGGAATACTGAAAATGTTGCTCCAAGGTACATTTTATAGGTCAAGTTGCTTCAAGGAATACTGGCTGTTTTGTATTAGACTATCCTTAAAAAAAGTTGTTGATCTTTCAGTTAAAGCTTTTAAAACACTTTTTATTGTGTTGACTGTGGTATTTTATGAGAGAAAATTCTTTTTGGATGCAGATCAGAAGAATCCCAAGATGTTGAAGAACTTGAAAAGAGATTGGCATCTCTTCGAAGAATATAAATATCTGGCTGCTACGCTCGCTCATGTGTTTCTTAATGTACAAATCGTTATATATAATATAGCAATGCAGAGATTGTATTATTGGCACCTCATAGTTACAAAATTTATGCTGTTGTGTTTGGATGTGAAGAACTAGTAAAAGTAGACTGGGATATTTGAGACTGCTGCAAACCTTTATTAAAATTTGGGAATTTGTAAATCTGTATGTGGGTATTTTTTAATTTTTTTTGTGGTTATTTTTTTTTTTTGAAAAGAGACACTGTGTTGTGTTGATGTGAAAAAAGAGACAGCACAGAAGCCAATGCAAGTGGCTTCCATGCAAGAATGAAGATGAATGCAGTAAAAGGTGACTGATTTATGATGTTTTTTCCTACAATAATTCATGTTAAAAAATCACTATATATCGATGATGGCACCTTTTTCTACTCTAATTCTTGTTTAAAAATACTACATAATCGAGTATGTACTGTATATAATAAATAAATGAAATGATAACATACATAAATAATAAAATAATATTACAATAAAACTTTTTTTCCTTTTTCTCTGTTTTTTCTAACTCAAACAGTCAATTTTATCCATTTGTGTTTTCTTTCTTTATTTTGTTCTCTATTGTGAGAGCTTAAGATCACAATGTGTAATGAAATTCAACCAGAGTGAGAGAGGTAATTTGAAATCGGATTTAGCTGACATCGACTTTGTATTATAGTTTGACTTTATGATTAGAGTTCCTAGTTTAGGTGCAGAAGGATAATAGAAGGCACAAAATCCATTTGTCCTTTGAGGCATTAATAAAAGTTTTCATAGAAATATTCTACTGGAATATGCAACACAAGATAGTAGAATTATTTGGACGTAAATCACAATAACTCAATTCTCCAATGAATTTTTCAAAACGACCCTTTTGTCCCTGTATTACATGTGTGTGCGGTTGGTTGGACCTTTTTCTCCTTCTCCAATGGCGGTGGTTGACGGTGGCGTGTAGCGGTGATCACTAAATGGTGCTTCCAATAATTTTGAGTGCATATTCTGGCACCCAATGAAAAAAGAAAAAAACTGAGACATCAAGTCATTGTGAAACAGTGTTACAAAGATGGGAGAGTATATTATATTGTACATAGATAGACTTTGGTATCTTTCACTATACAGAGAATGGAGAAGCAGTTGACTCTAGGCATCTTAGCAGACTCTACACATATTCTTGCATAATAAAACTATTATTAGCAAACATACTAAATATGCTAATTCTAATTCGAGGTGTGAAAAACGCTATCATACAACCTCAGCAAAAGGTGGGCCTCCTTGGTAATCACTTCAAAGAAAAAATCTTCTCCTTGTATGCATAAACATAAAATAGCTCCAGCAGTCTCAAACACATACTGGATAAAATGTATTACTTCTATTGCAGCCATTTCAGATTCACGAACAATATCTTCAAGCTCCAGCGGCTGATGATAAGTAAAATAATGTTCCTTTACACTTATATAACATAATAATGTGATAAGAGTCTCATTTCTTATCTGTTGTAACGCCCACAACAACATTACTCACCTGTGACATCGAATTCTAGTAAGTTTAAATATTGCTTTGCCCAAAAATTACAGAAAAGATTGTGAAATGAAGTAAACGAATTATATAGGCTTAAGTATAATTTTAAGATCTCTCTCGACGAGCTTCTTCACAAACTCCTAGAGAAAGAAATAAGAAAAATTGAGATTAACTTTTCTATAAACTAAAATTAACTTGTACATGGACTGATTTTTAGAAGTTGTCCCCTATGGCGTATCTAAATTATGTTTAACTTACACAAACTAATTTTAACTATTGGACAAATTAAATTATTTTTATCTCCTAATTTTTCTCCCCTGTAAGAACTTATGATAAAGTAGTTCATCTAAACAGGCCCATAGTCCTAAACCCAATTTTTTAATTGGTCAATTTTAAATTTATTTATTTTTAATCCTTAAAAAATATTAAAAGAAACTGTTTTCATTCACCAGTGGCTTTAAAAAAATAGTGTATTATAAGAATTAATAATGATAAAAAATTTAAGTTCGGATTAAAATAAAAGGAATTATTCTCGTGGATTAAAAACATACTTTAGTCAAATATGCATCCAAAACCAACCAAAAAAGAAAAGCAATAGTACTTACCAATTTCCCACTCGAATAAACATAGGATTTTCTGCTACGACAGTTTGGCTCGGAGAATGAGGAATTGACTGCAAGTAATGATATCATGTATTAGATATCATAACAAGAATGCACCAATATGAATAACAGAATCGCCCAACGACGAAAAAGAGAAAATCATATAGAGAAAATTATTGTTAAGAAATTAACTTTGATCCCACAAAATCAACTTGTAAAATGAGATTTATATCCATTTATGTATTATAAATTGGTTTTATTTCTAGTCGATATGAACCTTTCAACACATCTCCTCACATCGAAGTATAGACATCATCTCGAGAATGAGTATAGACATTAATGGGTGGTCCGAGATAACGGTCCGATAGCGGTTGGAAGAACATGCTCAACAAACAACAAATATCGCTAGGATAGGCTCTAACTATAACTCTGATACCATGTTAAGAAGTGAAATTTAAACCTAACTCAATCCCACAAAACCGGTCTAAGCTAAGGTTCGCACACACTTATATATTATAAATTGATCTTATCTCTAGTGGATATGGGACTACGAAATTAACATTTCAATTCAAGTTCGAATCTAAGACTTTAATCGGGCTACGAAATTGAACAACTTAATATCATTGTCAAAATAAAGCATAAATTCTCAAAAATTAGTGCATTAAACTAATTTCAAGTGTGTGGGGGCGCTGGTGAGGTTTGAGATTGCGTTCGATGGGTAGGCTCCTTCATTGTTAAGATACAACGAGTGAGCTAGCGTCATCATTTTTGTGAAGTTGGTTTCTGGACAGGGGCAGGTTAGCTGAAAGACTTCTTCTGTGTAGTCTTGCTGAAATAGCCACCAAGTAGTGTCTTCTTTCACAGTGGTATAAACGATTGTGAATCGCATACCAAGGTTTCTTGCATATTCAACTGCTTGTTGATAAGCGTTAGGGTTCCAGAGAATGCCTGTGGGTTGGCCGAATCTAAATCCCGTCTGTGGCTTGCAGGGTACGACTTTCAAATCATGTTATAAGTCAGCAATGTTTACAATGCCCAGTTGTTGGATAGAAAAGGCGAAGGCTGTGGGGATCGGAAGATCCGTTACAGCTCTAGGCCTCTTGAGTCCACCCAAATCGTACCTAGTTGGTACGTCGGTTAGAGTTAGGGCTCTGAGCTTCATTTATGTTATAAGATTGCATCCGAAAGCTAGTGCATTTGATATTTTATCAACGCGAGAGTAAAACTCTTTGTTGCTCGTTATCATCTTCAGTTTGTGGAATCAGATAAGACTACCGTGGATTGTATTGTGCGCGCTAATGTACATATTGTCAAGATTAACAGCAATTGGATTTGGTATTAGATAAACACGATCGCGGGCAAAGAAGTGACGGAGAATATCATGCTCTTTCAGTCCTATGGAGTAGTTGAGATTACCTGGGGCCGATAAATCGACCGTATGAGAGTCCAAAACGACAACTACGTCGTGCTGGTAAGCAGGTTGTTTAGTCCTCATGTGGAAGGAACCACTTATCGAGGCCTTCGAAGCGTCATCTTTAGCCTTATGTTTGGCCTTGTCAGGGTCTGGAGAAGAAGCTTGGGAGCTTGTCAAGCCACAATATTTGGTCCAACAATATTTCGAAATAAAATGCCTCTGGAATTTACAATTATGGTATCGACTAGGATAACACATCTTGACCCATTTGGACAATTCCAAAAGACTTGAGTGACAATATTAGCACCACAAATCACACATTCATATTTAAACTAATGTTCACAAGGCAACTTTTTTCTCACCTCCATAAATTTCTTATTGGATTCCATAAAATTTTGTTTTTGCCCTTTTTTGGATTATGTTGAAAGTTAAAAATAACTTAAAAATATAGTTTTCAAATTGTACAATTAGAAAGTTATTTGATTTTCGAACTGTATAATTTAAAAATCTCTTCTAAGAAAAAATGATTTTCGTCCAAAAATAACTTTCTAATAATTTGAAAAGGGTCAAAACGAAATTTTTTATATGGGTAAAGGAAAAATTCGTGGAGGTACAAGAAGAAATTGTCTAGTCACATTAGTAAATGTTTAAGTCTAGATACGGAGGACATTTCATACCGTCTTCAAGATGCAACAAAGATTACAACATATCAAACTTTCAAGAAATAATTTCTTAGATTGTTTCTAGATTATTTATGACTTGGAAAAAACTAGTCATGTGATAATTAATTTTGTTTGAAAGTAAATAAAAAAATAAAATTTTATGTAAGAAAATTAGTATTATTAAGTTGATCGGCAAAAGAAAACTATGACAACGATTTCTTTTTTCTTTTTACTTTCAAAAACTTATTTTTTAAAATAAAATCTTTATACAAATTTCAACTAGTATCAAACAAACAATTGAAACTCCAAACAACTGAAATTTGGAAGAATAATCTTCCCCAAACATACTTTAAATTCAACAGTTGAACTACTAAAAAGTACTAACAATTATATTGACCTGTTTCGTGCTTGAATATTTCTTATTTAATATTCACATATAGAACCTTATAAACGCAAGAAAAGTAATTAATTTAAATAACATTAGATGGACTAAAAGTAATATTTCAAAACAAAAAAGAACTAAAATTAAATATTTATTTTTAAAGGACAAAAACCAAACTTTTGAAAAATCAAACATTAATCCCCTAGTACTATATTTGAAAATTATAAACACTCGTAGTAGAATGAAAAGAATGTTAACGAAAAATTCATTTTTGAAATCAATAATTACTTTTTTTTAGACTTTAGGAGCTCAAAATTGTCATTATATTCTTTGAACATATTCAAAAAATCTTGTTCATTGATTACATTTGCATATAGAATTAGAATCACAACTAAATTTGTCAATGATTGTTAACGCTGACAGAACCAAATGACATGGACTTATCATGAAATATGTGATATGAAAATTACTAAAAATGACTTGTATATGTTTATTTTCAAGTTTTGTTTATTTTATCTCAATGAAACCAATATGATAACCTTAATGTACAAAGTGTAATAATTGAATGACAAAAACTATATATATACAACCAAAATATGTCCAAAAGATAATGTAAACATAAATAAAATCAAACATAGAACACAAAACAAATAAAATGACTAACACTAAACTAAATATTTTTCAAACTGTAAAACACTCATAAGAGCAACATGCTCATGAAAGACTTTAGATAGAAATCCCTTAATAAGAGGATTGTTATCTTAGAGTTTGTCCCTAAAGGTTATATGAAAATCTATCCACTTTATACCCTTTCTTTAATAACGAGAAACTCGATGTCAAATGTTTTGACTTGTTCGAGATCTTATTGTTGTTTGAATACAATATAGCAAACATTGTCACAATATAACTTAAGTGGTCTTTTAATTCTTTTCACAATGTTCGGTCTTGTGACAAAGTTCGTTAGTCATATTCCTTTATTTGATGTCTCATAGCATGCTATAAATTTTACAGTCATAGTAGATTAAACTATAATGATTTACTTGACACTGTGTTAAAAATCACACTGACTAACATGAAAATGTAACTTGAAGTAAATCTCAATAAAGAAAGGGTATAATATACCTTATAAGTTTTCTTAATTTTATATAAAATACATCATACATAAAATTTTCAAATTTAAAGAATTAAAAACAAAAAGTAATGTAATGTATGTATGACACATTAATAATTAATAATAAATAATCAAAATCTCTCACAAGTGCCTTAAACTATTATTTTATTATTTTATTTATTCCTTAAACTAATTTATTTTATTATTTTATTTATTACCATGCTAATAAATATAAAATTTTACTAATATTAAAATTGTGTCATATTTCTATGTTTTTACAATGTTTTACCTTTTCTAAATATTAAATCTCTATTTTATAAAATTGTCTAGTGATTTTACTATGTGAAGACAAATTATATTTACAAAATTTACTAATAAAATTTTATTACGGTTTTGTTATGCTCTTTCAAGGGATTAAAAAAATGGATTACAAAACTCTAATTCTTTTTGTGTATGTGTCTCAACAACCTTTTGAAGTTTACTTATCTATTGTTTAATATCAGAATGAACTTTCAAAATCTAATGAAAACAAATTATTATTATTATTATTATTATTATTATTATTATTATTATTAGGCTTGAATACTAAGTAATTGAATAATAAGATAGTATAATTTTTATATTAAATATTTATTTTTAATATTTGTTAAACATCTTCTCAATTTGAAAAGTGACAAATATATTACTTTACTTTATGTATAATAATATTTATTATTAAAAAAGTAAACTTATTAAATAAATTTATAGAAAAAATCATAATAAAATAATTTATTGTGGTGACAAAATATATTTAGAAATTATGATGTTCATTATTTGAATTATTTTATTATTAAATAATATTTTTATAAATAATATTACTAATATTAATTATAAAAAGTAAAATTATTAAAACTTTTAACTTGTTAAATAATATCTAATAAAAATAAAATTATTAAATCAATTATTAAGTGTGACTGAGAGAAATTGTTTTCTAATTTATAAAACTGTCTATAACTGTTACTAAAAAGGATAAAATAAAAATTACAAATGTGTATACAAAAGAAAATATTGAAAGAACTCACACAATAAATTTCCATTATTAAATTATAATTATTTATATATTATAATTTAAGTATATTGGTAATATGTGTTTTCCAAAAGTTGAAACCTAAAAGATTGTCTGGTGAGTAAAATATAAATGCTATGCTGAGCATCACATAATAACTGGTAGAGTACAGAAGATCAAGACGATCATTTTTTACTGTGTATATGATAGTGTTGCAATTTGAGAAAAGATGTGGTAGGAAACCTTCTTTACCTAAGAATCGCATTTCTCAAACAAACATTTAAAAATCCTTCATATTTGAATAGAATAATGCATTAGCTTTGTTAAGTTAAGCAAAATAGTTCCCAGAAAGTGAAAGTAAAAGTAGTATTTCTTCACCAACCAGCAACCACCTGAAGTTCTGCGTTGGTTACACCAATCAAGAAATCCTGAGAAAGAACCCTAACATGGCTTCTTAGACTTAACAAATGATATGGTTGACCAATTTCACTGTCCTATCTATATAATAACCCTAGCCACTGATATGAGCAGCACCATCACAGCAGATATAGTTTTGACAGAGATTTGCAGAATGGCCTTAGAAAATGGAGAGAAAGTTGAGGTTGGTTTGAGTGTAGTTGCAGAGGCAAAGGCAAAGAAGAAGGATTGGGTTGTTTTGTCCCTCAGAGTGGTTGCGTTTTTTGCCACTGCATCTGCAACACTTGTCATGGCTCTCAACAAACAGACCAAAAGCTTCGTAGTTGCCAACGTTGGTAACTCTCCGATAACAGCAACTCTTGCTGCAAAGTTTAACCAAACTCCGGCTTTTGTGTATGTTTCTTAAACTTTTATTTGTGTATGTTTCTTAAACTTTTATTTATGAAAGACGAATTTATAATATATACGGTGAAATTAAGTTTGATATAAACTTACTCTTAAAATGGTATCATTTTATCATAGTAATTTAAAAGAATTTATTTTAATGAGATTTATTGTTTGCTTTGATATTATTATACATTTTTTTTCCCACAATACGTTTAATTTATGATGATAGATAATCGGTGATGATGCAGGTTCTTTGTTGTAGCAAATGCAAATGCTAGTCTGCATAATTTGGTGATGATAGCAATGGATGTATTAGGACCCCAATATGACTACAAAGGACTCAGGCTTCTGTTCATTGCCATATTAGACATGGTAGTCACTCTATTTTTATTAAGTTTAATTTTTAAATTTAATTCAATATTTTTTATTATATCAACTTTATATATTGGTATATTATTGTAATTATAATAAAAATAATTTTCTTCTTACTGTAATAATCAATATTATATATCCTTACTGAAAAAAAATATTTATTTTAGTAATATTTTACTCAATTTATTTAATAAATTTTACATTTTTCACTGAACCAACTATAGACTATAAATTTCATGTAATTTAAAATTACTTAATGTGATGTACAATTGATACAATTAATAACTTTTCTAAAATACACATTTACAAATCAAAATACTAAATTATGGCATATCTCACGAGTATACGTATGCATGCTTAGATTTTAGATAAACTGAAAATTCATTTATATCTTGAAAAATCAGTTATACATTTAAAATAAGATTAATTGATGACAATGTTTTTAAATCATTTAAAATTTTGTAAACTCAAAATAAGAATTCGCAAGTGTGCAATATTATGTTGTAACTCTAAGACACTGTAAATGTACTTACTTCATTTCATTCTTTTTCATCGATAAAAAATAATAATTAGAAGTCCATCTCATTCTAACAATTAGATTAACGAAATCTAATATTTACGAAATACTATTACATGAATTTCGTGATAAAAGTTACACATAAAATAACTACATCTCTTTCCATTATTATTTATTATAAAAAAATAAGTTATATATTCATATTAGTGTGATAAAATAGTTTTAAAATCTCACTTCAAAGGAGATTTTAATCAATAATAAAATCGGTGATTGTTATTTAATATAAGAAACATGAATAATATAATATTAAAAAAATAATATTATATCTTTAAATTCAAACTAAATATGATGTGCGAGTGTAAACCTTTTCTACATTCGAAGTATACACCATCAATGCACTGTTTATTATAATAATTATATATATTCGTAAATATTTGTTGTATGAAAGTAGTGTATGAAAAGTGATATATGTTATAACTTTGGTGAAGATGGCTATGGCTCTGGCATCAGCTGGTGATGGTGCAGCAACATTCATGTCAGAATTGGGAAAAAATGGTAATTCACATGCAAGATGGGATAAGATATGTGACAAATTTCAAACCTATTGCAACAGAAGTGGTGCTGCCCTTGTTGTCTCTTTCATTGGCTTCATTCTTCTCCTCATTATTTCAGTCATGTCCATCATCAAATTGCTCAAGCCAAATCGCATTAACCATGCTTCTCCATAGGATCACACACATCATCGTAATACAAATGTTTTTCTTTCGTTTTAACTGCTGTTTTTGTCGCATAGAAAAACATAAATAAACATGTTGGTTGGTTGTGTACAACTTCCTTTTTTGTATCATATGTTGTGGATCCCCTGTTTTAAACCTTTTAAAAAGGGTTACAACTTTCTGTACAATTGGTACGTGCCATGAAATTCCTCCTCCTTTTTGCTACAGTTTTTCACATTCATGGACTTATGAAAAGTTAATTCTTCATTCACCGTATATATAAAATATTGTTAGCTCAAAAACATGAAATTTCGTTATGGTATTATTTTAAAAGACTTCTCAAAATATAGAAAAAAAGAATGAATATTAAACTATTTAAGTCTTGACTTTTAATCGATGTAATATGAAACTATTTTGTACCTATGTGGAAGAGATTTACTCTTGAAAGAGAGATTGTACCTATGTGGAACACTGTATACATAAAAATGAAAGACCCATTAACTCATTGTCTTAAGGTTTTGGATAGATAGTGGTGTCAATTTCTCATTGGTGTTTGTATCTTTCAGGTGAACTTCCTCCTCCATAGATTCAAGTCTCCCTGATAAATTTCCTCTTTAATAAACCCAACATATTTGACATGATAAAAACAATACTCATTTTTTTCATAACTATTATTTTTTCTTTTTTTATTATTTATAAATACAAAAGCTTGCTTTTTTTTATTGGTTTATCCTACTTAAATGTTAAATAGGTTGTTTATTCATAAGTTTTCTTTTTAGTTATTGTGTTTCTGACATTTTTTCTCTCTATATTTTCTAGTTTTGTTTTTTATACTTTTATTATTTGTTTCGGTGAAGATTTTTGTGGGACCGAGACACGTGACTTTGCCACTTATGGATGATTTTGTCACTCGCTCTCCTGCAATATAGATCGCACGCTTGTCCTTTGATGGGTCGCTCGCGCTTCTTCGATTTGCACCGTTCGTTCTCCTTCACCAGCAGACGGGGGGGGGAGAGATACCCGCAAAGGCACTCCGACACTCAAGTTAGGCGTCTGTTGAAGGAGTTGTTGCTCACAAATGAATATTATGGTAATTGAGTATTATGAACTCAGTATAGTGTAAATAGAATGTGAATGGAACATTTTGGAGTGTGAATTGAGCATACCTGGCTCATGGCCCTGACCTTGTATTTATAAGTTGTCTCATGGATCTAATATGATACAGGCCCAATAAAATATAAACAGACTTACCTTAAAATCTGGTGGGTGTTGCTCCCTCCATCACCCCAAGTGTTTATGCACCTCCCCACTATTTTCTTTTATTCCAAAAATACTCTACACCTCCCCACTATTTTCTTTTATTCCAAAAATACCCTACACCTCCCCACTATATTCAACAATCTTTCTCTTTCTCTCTCCACATTAATGGAGCATTCACATGGCTCAGATTTAAACTTGTGATATATTGTAAAATATAAAATTCTACCAGTAAAGATATGTATTTTCATTTCCATTTGGCTCATCTTTTTCTTATTTTCTCAATTACACCTTTCCTACATATGATGCTTCCTATGTTTACCCCCACCCCCTAATTGGCATGCCCAAATAGCATAAAGAAATATGCATATATAGTGTCATAACTTAATATTTTTGAAAATCTCTTAATGCAAGACTTTACCTACACCTTGTGTTGGAAGTCCCACATCGACTAGAGATAAGGTCAATTCATAGTTTATAAGTGAGTGCAAACCTCACCCTACAAGTTGGTTTTGTTGGGCATATTGTTCCACCCGCTACCGGACCACCCATTAAAAATGTCTAATCTCACGCTCAAGATGTATATACCTCAACGTGAGGGGGTGGGTTGGAAGTCCCACATTGACTAGAGATAAGGCCAATGAGTGCAAACCTCACCCTACAAGCCGGTTTTGTGGGGTTGAGTTAGGCTTAAAGTTCACTTCTAACAATTCCAACAATCTTTATGTCCCTTGAATTCCAATTTTCATTGAGCATCATGAGCCTCAAGGAGATTTATTCTTCAAAGTTTTGCTCCTTGACCTTGTCTTAGGTTATTTGAATTGCAAATGTTTTTCCTCAAGTTCTTGTCATATATGTTCATGAGATAATCATCTCTCACCTTATATGTGATCTCAAGAGTATCTCTTATTTTTTTTCACATTTGAATGTGTTTACTATACTTTTGTTGCTGTGTATATATAAAAGAGTGGTTGGTCTTAGAATTTAACCAAGTATACATGCTTTTGCTACTTCATGAATCCTTAAAGAGACTTGCTATCCTTGTGAAGAAGACAACCATCAATGAGTTCTAATAAGTCAAAATTTTCACCTATTGATATAGATGTTTTGTTTACTTTAAAGTCAAAATTTTAACCATTGATTAGAGATGTTTTGTTTACTGCCTAACTATCATATAATATTTTGTAAGGATAAATATTAGTCTTAAATTTGGATACAAATATATTTGAATACAAAAATATTTGGACAGAAATGATATTAGAAAAAAAAATTATATTAGTTTAAAAAAATATAACAATTTTAAATCAGTATAAAAACATAAAGTATTGGAAATATTAATTTTTTTATACTAATTCCAAAATTATTATAAAATTTTTACTTTATATACTGATTAAACACACAGAGTATAATAAAATCCGTACAATTGTTCTTCTGTGTGTAACGCTCTTGTAGACACTTTTTTATGTTTAATTGGAATTTAAAAAAGGATACTGGTTTTATAGCAAGTACGGCTCTTAAGTTTAACAAATAACTTATCTGAGACGTCTGCTACCAACGAAAACAAAAGGTTTACTTTAAAACGTATATTAATAATATTTTAAGATACGGGTCAAAAAAAAAAAAAAAAAAAAAAAATATTTAAAAAGAGAACAAAAATTAAATTTTGTCTCTTAAAACCTCACTCTAAATGAAAGTATTTTTATGTCAAATTGCTAGTTAAAGTAGCAAAATTATACTAATTTATCTTGAATACCATATACGTACTTTTTTTTACCTTAATTCTTCATATAGAATTAGATTAATGATCTTCAATTTTCCAACTCCCCGTAACATCAAAATCATGATTGATAAAACTTAATAACACTTTAATCATAATAGTAAATAAATTTTCTGCATTAATTCAAATAATTTTTTCAATTATAAATATATAAATAAATAAATTAGAATTAAGTTCAGATCTTTTTATTTAGTATTGAAATATTTGAAATAATATTATTTATTTTCATGTTTATAATTCAATACCACTTCAAATTTGCATCAAATTTGTTATATTTACAGAGAAAACAAAACTTTATTTCATATTATTGCTACTTAAGCTTGCTGAAATTTATTTATAGGTAATTCCGAAGAGATTGACTGATTTTTTTTTTTTCTTACACATTCTTTTAAGAATATTAAACTTTATTATTTCTTTTGTGTTTATTTATGAACTACCAAACATAAGTGTTTTGTATTATTATCTGTCCTTCAAAACTAACAAGTCATTCATGCATTTATTATGAGTTGTTCTATCATACATTTTCAACTCTCGGCTTCTTTTTTGTCATTTACTATTAATGATACTTGTTAAAAACTTGTTTTAATTTTATGAATGACATGATAAAAAAACTAAAAGTTAAAAACCAAATAATTTAATAATTTATTAATGATGTATAAAGCTTAGTAGATTGGCTTAGACAATAAAAAAAATAGATGGGCAGATTTATAAAAAGTACTTTTAAATTAAGTTGTTTTTAGATCAATCCTTCATTCAACAATGTTGGGAAAAAAAATTATAGCTTTGGGTTTGGACTTATTTTATAGAAAATAATTATAAAAAAAATTATTGGATAACTGTAAATATGAACTTGAAACCTAAATTTTGTTTGTTCAGTTCACAAGTGATACGTGATACATATAGGAAATTAATAAACAACATTATAATTAAAACAATAATTAAGCATTATCCATGAAGATTTTAAGTTTTAACTCATTTTTATACTTTACGTCCAAACCTCATTTACATTATCAAAATGGATTTATAGGATATCTCACCAAACTTTAATATGCATTCTTATTCACTCTTTTATACCTATGATAATACAATAACTTTATTTTAGCTTCTATCACAAACACAAGAAAAGTGTATACTCTATCATATATTTGATAATATAATAATTTTTTTAGTTTCATACAGAAAAAGAAAATTCGTCAATAATTTGAGTCTAACGACAACCAAACTCACCAACAATAATTGTTGATAATTTTTTTCAAAGAACCATAAAATTTGTCAGCAATTATTGACGACTACAAATCCATCATAACTACGGATAGATTTCCAATAAAATTCGTTAGTAAATGTTTTGAGTCTTTTTACCCTTCCATTTCCTCTTCCCCCTTTTATTTATTCTTCCTTTTCTTTTTCCTCTTATTCTCCTCCTCCTCTCCTTCTCGATGTACCTCACCGCATTCGCTTCTGGTCCTCCTCCTTACTTTGACCCTCACAATCTCGAGTTGAGCCACACCACGACCACAAATGTGTTGTTGTCGCGATGCTTCCTCCTTTTCCTTTTCATCCCCCTCCTTCTCCTCTTTCTCCTCCTCCTCTTCTTCTCTTTTTCTTCTCAATCATCTCCCCTTAATATATAAAAAAAATCTGAAAAGACTTGGCAAAAATCTTGTTGTTCATTTTACTAATAGATTTACTAACGAATTACAAATTATCGAAAAAATTTATAGAGAAAATTGATTGTTGGATACATTATCTAGGAAAATATTTACCGATTATACAAATCTAATTTAAATTTTAAAATTTATCAATAAAATTTATTGATAAATTTGGATTTATCGATGATTTATTTCCTTTGATAAAAATTTGTTGGTAATTACAAAAATTCTTATAGTGTCACTTAAATGAGTGAGGATATCAAATTATATCTTCACTTAAATGACTCAAGCAAAGACTTCACTTAAGCGAGTTTGATCTTGTTGAGTAAAGGTATCAAACAAAGTACTCACTCGAGTGACTCTGATGATACCTTCATTAGCAATTCAAATGAACTACTTGTATTAACACAAAATGTTTTATGCAACTACCTCCCTACGTATTTCAAAATATATTCTTTTCTCAAGTCATAAGACTCCCAAATTCAAAACTTAAAATGATTACACCTAAATCGAGACTCAATATAAATTAGAG